AAAATTTACACAGACTAAAAGAAGATCAATGTTTTCCTAGGACAGGGGTTTTTGAGTGGAGGCTTTACTGAAAACAGGCATGAGAAAATTTGGGGGATGATAGAAATGTTCTAAAGCTCACTTATGGTGACATTTGTACAAGTCTACACACTTACTAAAAAATCATAGAATTCTACATTTTGGTGGTTAAATTATATGGCAAGTAAATTATAATTCAAAAAAGTTATTTTAAAAAATCAATGTTTAGTCTGGCAGTGAAAATTTGGAAATGTTGAGCAATATAGGCAAACGTATTAGTGAGTGAGTATAAGAGGTAAAAAAGAAAAAGAGCTCAGAGATAGAAAATTAAGAAGGAAAGTCTACTTTGACATGAAGCAATGTATGATGTGTGTGAATGGCCACCTCCTTCACAATAGGTTGGCTTTACAGGCTTGGATCTCCGAGGTAGCTCCCAGCACATTATTAGAAATGTCTGTAAGTCATCAGCAGTCTCCTGAGATCCCCTAAGAGATCTCACATTTCACATGATAGGGCAACTTTTAGTTCACTTCTAGTAACAAGGGCTGGGTTACTAACTCAAGCACAGACTTAATGATTTACTAACTGTTGGGAGACTCTCTTTCATGAGTCCTTCATACTCCTACAAGTCTTGCCATGAATTTCCAGAACACAAGGCCCTGACTACACTTTACCTGGGCCATTTTTCAAAGTTGTGTTGTCAGTGAACAACCTTGGAGGAAGAAATGACATCTCTTCCCAAACCAAGAGCTGGCTTATTTACCAGTGCTATAAAGTGGAGGGTTCACTAGGTTTGGGGCTCCTCTCCTGGGTGTGAAGGAATCCATCTACACCCATCTGTGTTAATCTTATGGGAACTGGGGGTCAGGGAACCAATCACACCCTGCTGACACTCTGGCTACTGTTTTTGCTGTGAGTAATAAAGTCTTTCATCTCTGACCCAGAATTCTTGTGTCCTCTGTCAACATCCATGAAACTATGAAAAGCTAAATGTGTTAGCTTGCAAGGGCGATAAAATCTCAGGTCCTTGAAAGTTTTTGACATCGCATTCACAGTCTATTTTACTTAAGCATAGGGAAAGAACAAGTCTAAACTTGAAAGCCTGATCTCTATTACATCATCAGGATTTTTATTAGCCAAATCATATTACTCATTCTTCATAAACATTTTTGTGAAATCTATATTTGTATGGTTGTGTGGCCTATTCCAGTGTATTGTAAATTTAAAAAGAAGCCAATGGTTTTGAAATCTAATTACAAAATTAATTCTGTGATAAAGAAAATATTAGGCCAGATTCAGTAACCTGTTAAGCTTTTAGTTCAACTAATTCTACCTGCTTGGATAAGAGGCCTTGGGTAGAAAGGATCTGAAAGATCCTTTAGGAAGACTTGAGTGAGGAAGTCTGGCACTCACGCTTGAGCAGTAGCAATGCACTGGGCAAGGGTATGGCCTTTGGACACAGACTACCAGGTTCAAATGCCAGCTTTGCTACTTGCTTGCTGTGTAATTTTGTTTATGTTATTTGATCTCTCTTTGCTTCAGTCTTCCAATCTATACAATGGGGACTAACAACAAAATCACCACTATAGTGTTGTAAAGATGAAGGAATGTCTGTGTGTAAAACTGTGCCTAGCCCTGAATGCACTCCTTATCTTTTGATTGCTACTCCATCTTGCTGAGAAATTGGCCACAAGAGGCGGTTTAGCTCACCTGTGTGAGGTCAGCACTGCAGCACAGCCTTCCCGAACCTCCTTCACTATTGTTTGCCACAGGTACCGCTTAGAGCAGGGATCCATCCCAGAGCTTGGCTCATCCTGAAGGAAAGAAAACACACAGTAATGAACATTTGGAAAAAACATACGGGAATATATACAACGACATGTGAGGCCAAACCCTGGCTGAGAGAGAATCTCTGCTGTGCCTCTAATAGGCACTTTTCCATTGGCTTTGTTTCACACCCTGCAACAAAGTCAGTATGATGAGAGAAAGTAAGAGTTTAATGAGTTAGTGCCTGCACACCCACCCATGCAAGATGCTGCCCAAGGCCCACTTCTTTCTTATCTAATCCAGATTACTAAGGTGATCAACACAGCTGATTGGTTGGGAGAGGCTGGGAGCAGGGGAGAGAAGCTGTGGACTCTAGTAACCACCCTGAGAACTCCATCAGGAAGCCCACTCATGAGTAGACCCCTCACAACTGGCCCATAGGTGCTTCAAGCACTTGGCATGCCTCATCTTCCCTTCCCCCCAAGCAGGCATCCCAATAATACCCTCACATAGGTAAGTGCATGTGCCTCATTCAAACAACCAACACAACTTGGCGGGATTGAAAAAAGGCACACAAACTTGAGCATTTCAGGGCAACGTTCTAGGAAAGACAAATGGGGAGCTCTCAGCACGTGGCCTGGCTTTGTAGGATTTAGAAAAGATGTACAATTTTAAGAATTACCCTCCCCCCACCAAGAATGACCAAGAGGTGTGGAGTAGGCACACTTATAGAAAAGCGCTGAGAGAGCCTCATAATCTCTAACCTAGCTGACTGGGGAAGGCATTTCTTTCACAAAGACAGTCAGTAAAGACTGGAAGAGGTGACTGCTTCTTCAAATGAAAAGGCAACAGGTCAAGGCTTCAAGAAACATAAAAGTAAACAATTATATTCCAAAAGAAATGAAGATCTACAAATTGCCTGAGACAAAATTCAAAATAATTGTTTAAGGAAGCTTAGTGAGCTAAAAGTGAACAAAGACAATTCAATGAAAACAGAAATACAAAAACAAACAAACAAACAACAGAAAAACAATGCATGAACAAAAAGAGAAGGTCAAAAGAGAGATAGAAATAATTCTAAAAGAATCAGGCAGAAATACCAGAGCATAAAAATACAATAAATGAAATGAAAATTGCAATAGAGAGTGTCAAAAGCAGACTTGAT